CTTTAAGGTCAAGAGGGCAGCATTTACTCAAGGACAGAGTTCAGAGGGCTAGACAAGGAGGAGGAATGGAAACCGGAAACAGCGAGAAAGTGGGATATGTGATAGTACGTCAAAGGGGATTGCAGTGGGTGAGCTGCAGCTGAAGGCATATGAATTGCTGGATGGGAAACTATGATCTGCTCTGCACACCTTCCCCTAATTCGCAATCATTTTGTTTAATTCTGGAAAATGGAATGGAACGACAAAGGAGCTCTTCCACACCCTTTCAGAAGCCTCCTCGGGTATTAGAGATTGGCAGAGGGGCTACTGTGTAGGGGAAAGAGGAAGACATTGACTTCACAACCTGCCTTTCCTCTTTCTGGGCTGTTCAGCTCTGGCCCCCAACTTCCTGTTCTGCTCAACAACACAGAAGTTCCTCCAATCAACCAGACTCGGATGGGAGTTTGGCAGCTATGTGCTGTTACCGAGACGCACCCCTTAAAGGGTTGTGCCCTCACCCTTCCCTAAGCAACCTGTCCGAGTGTTTCCCAGCCCCCTCCCTCACCCCCAAGCGGTTCTGAAGCATGCCAGTTATTCCATTGTGCTGTATGTCCCGGCCTGCAACTGTAGCATCCTCTGCAGACAGGCCTTCTCTACAGTAGTTGGCTGCCCTGTCCCTTGATCTGGCTCAGCCTGGACCCGTCCTTTCTTCCCTTGCAGGGGACGTGCATATTGCTATGATGGACCAGAGAGGCCAGCTGGAGGTAGAAGTGATTGAGGCTCGAGGCCTGACCCCCAAACCAGGTTCTAAGTCTCTCCCAGGTGAGGCTGAGCAGCTAGGGCGGGATTTTAAAAATGGGGTCCTGGCAGAGAGGGCTGTGCAGTTGAGCTCTGGGCCTAGCAAGTCCTTACCCCTGTTGCCCTGACTCGGTGGGAAGCCAGTGAATGGGACTGAGGATGAGGGAGTGGGAAGAAGCCCCTGTTGCGTCCGCCTTGTCCACCGGCTGCCTGTGCTCAGATCCACGCCCCTTCCCTGGCTGCTCCCCTCAAGACCATCCAAGGGCTTAGCGGAGTGGGTAAACCATGGCAGTGTCCTCAGGACCCTTCTCCTCATGCGTCCTCTCATCCCTCAGCCACCTATATCAAGGCTTACCTGCTTGAGAATGGGGCCTGCTTGGCCAAGAAGAAGACAAAGGTGGCCAAGAAGACCCGCGATCCCCTATACCAGCAGGCTCTGCTCTTTGACGAGGGGCCCCAGGGTAAGGTGCTGCAGGTGAGTATGGTGGTGGTGGGGTGGGGGGACCCCTCACAGACCAGAAGCCATTATTTCTGGAACTTTCCTTTATGATCAGTCCTGTCCCAGGCACTATACCAGGTGTGAGGATGCACCTTACTCAGGTGTGTGTTTTCACAACCCACTGCAGTGTTATTGCACCTGGTTGATTCATAAGGAGACCAAGCGCCAGATAAGAGGCATAGCTAGCAGGTGGAACTATGACTCACCCACTGCTAATATTTCCGAGACCCTGCTCGAAGCTGGGCTTGGTGCTCCCTGCTTCCCAGTGTTATCTTGCCTTAATCCTCCTGATGGTTCTGTGATGTAGGGCCGACTCTCCCGTTTACAAATGAGGAAGCAGAGTCCCAACATGAACAGGGAGGTGACTCACTTAAGGGTTCAACGAGTAGCTTGCACAGCCAAGTTGAGCCCCGATCAGGCTGACCCTCATCTCAGTCGCTTAGACTAACAAAGCCCTTCTGCACGCTGTGAGTTGTTGGCACTCTGTGGCATCCTGGAAGGGAGAGAGGGAGTATTCTGCCATTTCAGAAATGAAGAAACGGAGGCACAAGTGGTTCTAGAGAAATACAGCCTATGGTAAGTGAGTCTCTAAATTTGGTCCTGGGTTTAAGCTCCCACACACTTATTTCCTAGCTGCAGGAGGTAGGTTGTGAAGATTAAATAAGATAATGCACCTGAAGGGCCTACCGTAGTGCCTGATGCATTGAGGTTGTTGTTAGCACTGCCTGGTCCCGCGCCATCTGCGCATTGTTACGTTGAGTTCATTGTTGTAGCCTCTGTCAGTCCATCTCAACAAGGGGCTTCCTCTTTTTTCCCTGCCCCTCTACTTGACCAAGCATGTCCTTTTCCAGGGACTGGTCTCTCCTGTCCATTAGGTGAGACAAAGTCTCCCCATCCTTGATTCGAAGCAGCATTCTACCTGGGCTTCTGTCAAGAGTCTTGTTTGCCTTTGTGGCAGGCCGTGATCTTTTACACCAACACCATCATTCACACGCATCGGGCCTTCTTCAGCCTGCCTTCTTCAGTGTCCAACTTGCACCTGCTTTTGAGGTGGTTGAAAATACTATGGCTTGGTCAGGTGAACCTTCGTCTTCAAAGTGGCATCCCTGCTCTGCAACGCCTGAAATGGGATCTTTGCCCAGGGCAATATGTCGGCCGACTTGACAACTGCTTCTAGGAGCGGTGCTTATGGATCCAAGGAAGATGGCATCTTTGACAGATTTCATCTTTTCTCTAGCGTGATGGTCCCTGTTGGTCCAGCTGTGAGAATTTTGGTTTTCTTTACATTGAATTGTAATCCATACTGAAGGCTCTGGCCCTTGATCTTCATCACAACGGCTTCCTGTCCTCCACATGTTCAGCAAGCAAAGTTGTGTCATCAGCTTACCACAGGTTATTCGTCAGCCTGCTTCCAATCCTAGTGCTATTTTTTTCTCCATGTAAACCAGTTTCTCTGATGTGTTGCTCAGCATACAGATTGAAGTATTTTGAGAGAGTACAACCCCAACGCACACCTTTTCAGATTTTGAAGCATGCAGTGTGCCCTTGTTCTGTTTGCACACCTGCCTCCTGATCCAGGTACAAGTTCCACAGGAGCACAATGACCTGTTCTGGATTTCCCATTCTTCTCAAAGCTCTCCGTAGTTTCTTATGATCCACACAGGCAAATGCCTTTGCATAGTTAATAAAATATAAATCAGTACCTTTCTGGTATTCTCTGCTTTCAGCCAAAATCCACCCGACCTCAGCAATGATATTCTTCATTCTTTGTCCTCTTCTGAATCCTGCTTGAATTTCTGGCAGCTCCCTGTCAATGTCCTGCTCTGATCATTTTGGAATGAACTTCAGCACAATTGTACTTACATGTGCTATCAATCATTTGCACCTTCTGTGGGGTCATCTTCCTTTGGAATGGGTACAGATATGGATCTCTGCCAGTCAGTTGGCCAGGTAGCTGTCTTCCACGTCTTGGCCTAGACAAGTGAGTGCTTCCAGTGCTTCACCAGCTTGTTAGAAACATTTCAATCGGTGTTATCTCCATTCCTGGAATCTGGATTTTTGCTAATGCCTTTAATGCAGCTTGAGCTTCTTCCTCGTTATCATTGGTTCTTGACTCTATACTCCTGGTGGAATGTGGACTAGTTCTTTTTTTGGTGCAGTGACTATGTATTCTTTCCATCTTCTTTTGGTGCTTCCTGTTTCATTTACTATTTTGCCCATTGTGTTAGTCTGGTAGATAGAAAAACAAATTCATAGACACATGTGTATAAGGAAGAGCTTTACATATAAGAGCAATTGAATATTGAGAAAACATCCCAGCCCAGTCCAGATCAAGTCCATAAGTCTAATGTTATAATGCCCATATGTCTGATACCAATCTATAAAGTCCTCTTCAGACTCAGGAAACACATGCAATGATGCCAAATGCAGGAAGATCACAGGCCAGTAGGTAGGAAGCCTTGTGGATCCAGTGGCATTGTAAGCATCTCAGTGCTGAGAGGGGTCTCCATGTGGCTTCTCCGGTCACTAGCATAGTTCCATGTGTCTTGTGAGCTGCTATGTCTCCCAGAGAGTGAGCAGAGAGAGCAAGTGTTCCTGCTTCCAAGGAGGAAATACCGTAGGAGAAGGCCATGCGCACACAGATAAACCCCTTCACTCTTAATCCTCAAATTGACACCAGATTATGTAACTACCACACCCATAGAATATTTTAATATTGCAACTTGGGACACATACAATATGATGGTGGCGATGTTTGGCCATGACTTTGTCTGAGGATATACAGGTGGAGGGGATTCTAGAAGCCAGGGCTGTCTGAGGCCATATGACTTCCATCCAGGGCTTTTCTTCTGATCCAAGGTGCTTCCGCGGCTACCTTGTAAGAGCCCTCGAGTTGCATATAAAGAACCAACCACAGAACCTTAGGGCTTTGTGCAGGCAATCTTGGGAGCCAAAGGGAAGATGAGTAATTCTCTCCTACTTAACCAGGTCAAATTCATTTAATCTATATATACATACACGCACAAATATATATGTGTGTCCATAATAATAGTCACTTATTATATATTTCTATATTAGAGTTGGTCAATATTAATAAATATATATCCATCAATCTATTTACAAAACCCTTCCGTCATCAATTCTATTCCAACTCGTAGCAACTCTGTACAGGGTTTCCAAGACTGAATTTGAAGGGACCAGACAGTCTCATCTTCCTCCCTCTGAGTAGCTGACAGGATTGAACCACTGACCTTGCAGTTAGCAGCCCAATGCTTAGCCCTCCGTTCCACCAGGGGTCCATATCTAGCTATAGATAAATATTCCTTTGTGAGAAAGGGTTCGCTGATAAGCACGCATTTGAATATTGCCAAGCTAGTCTGTTCCCTCCCTCAGCTTTGTGGAAGGTCATGCCGAGGTCCAGTGAGGGTGATGGACAGCACTCAGTGGGGAGTCAGCTATGACCCAGGCCCTGGACTTTGCATGAGGAAAGCTGTTGTCTGGGATGCTGAGAGGCGCTGGAGTCAGACACCCTCAATTGCGATTCTAGCTTGGCCATGGGTTGCTGTGTATCTTTGGGTTAATGAACCTCTCTGAACTACACCCATACCTAACTGGCTGGTAGGAACAAAGGCTTGGGTCTGGCATGTCCTCAGTGCTCAGTGATTGGTTGGGAAAGTCAGCCTGGGTTCTGGCTCTCACTGCCCATCTGTGGCCTGGCAGCACTAGCACTCTCCAGGCCCATGGTCCAGCCTTGGGGTGTGTGGGGTGGCTCATTCCTCACACTCTTCCTCTCTTTTGGCAGGTGATTGTCTGGGGTGACTATGGCCGAATGGACCACAAGTGCTTCATGGGCATGGCCCAGATCATGCTGGATGAGCTAGACCTGAGGGCTGCAGTCACTGGCTGGTATAAACTCTTCCCCACCTCCTCAGTGGCCGACTCCACGCTCGGATCCCTGACCAGGCGGCTGTCCCAGTCCTCCCTGGAGAGTGCCACCAGCCCCTCCTGCTCCTAAGGACCACAGGAAGAAGGGCTGGAGTGGTGGTGTGCAAAGGGGTGCCAGCGGGGCCCCCACCTCCCCCCTGTACATAGTCTTCATGTCTAAAGGGACCCTGTGCCCTGCTGCATGCCCATGGGCTCCTGGGCTCATCCCAGCTGGCAGTGGAGACTACGTGTGTGTGTATGTGTGTGTGTGTGTGTGTGTGTGTGTGTATATGTGTACTCTGTGTCTGTGTGACCACCTTGATACATGTCTATCTGTCTGGGAAGTCAGTCCGCATGACTACTGGGCAGAAACCCTTGTCTCTTTGTATCTTATTGAAAAGAAACCCAAAGGAATGTTGTGTGGGCACAACTCACCAGAGGGGTCCCTAGGCATACAAGGTGGGGGCTGGGGGGTGGAGAGACACAGGGCTTTCCTGCCTGGTCCTGGGACTGGGCCAGCACTTACGTTCCCTCCCTGTGCCTCCTCCTGGTGGTCGCTGCTTAGTCCTCCATCTTGTCCTGTCCCACCCTCTGCCTCTCCCCAGTGCTGCTGCTGCTGCTGTTTTGAGGAATGTAGCATTCATTGCAGCTGACCACGCTGGAACCCCCACCCCACTCCTTTCTCTCCCAGCATCATTTCTCCTGCCTGAGCAGCCCTGGGCACTCTTCCCACAGATGCCCTTTGCAGCATGTTAGGGCCCTGGGCAAGGCCCCGGGGGACACCGCTGCTGCCCAGGGACTGAGGGCTTGGAGACCTCTATCTCCCTTGGGCTGGAGCCACCTCCTTCCTACAGGTGGAGGCTTTGATTCAGAGAGGGCTGGCCAGATCTCTTAGAGGGAGGGGCCAGGCCCCCCACCCCCACCCCCCTGAGCATCTGTTCTTGATCTCTTTCTTCTCATCAAGACTCCACATGCCACAGGTGCGCTCCTTGTGGACCTCAGGAGGCCGGGAGTGGAGGGCCTTGACCTTTAGAGAGAGGGATGTTATCTTCCACAGCAGGCAGTCTCTGGGATTCCTGTGTCCTCCCCAGGCCCTGCGGGGGTGGGGGTGGGGGGCATCCTTCAGGCTCATCTCTGGTGGGGTGTGGCTTGGTGAGGAGGTGCTGGGCTAGGGTTCTTTGCTGGAATAAGGAGGTCTGAGGCTGGCTTGTTCTGAACCACGGCCAAGGGTCCCTTTAGACCTTTGGAGATTAGCTGCATGAAGTGGCTCACTTGAAGCTCGTCTTTGCTCCTTTCCAGACTGGGGTCTAAAAGCTCCGTCATGCTTGGGCTCCTGGCTTCAGACTCCGGACCGCCAGTCACCAGCTCTGTACAAGCAATACTTACCCCTCTCGCCCTGCCTCACTGCCCTTAGACAGTGGCAGGGCTGGCTTGCTCGAGGCACCTGCCGCATCTGCTCTCTGCTTTCTTGCCCACCCCAGTCCGCTCAGAGCTTTTCAAACTCTGGCCTGATATGATATCTGGCCCAAATTGGTAGAGGCCAATTCCTGGACTGGATCTTTTGAGGGGACTGCTGGTCATCCTGGCTCACAACGGCCCTGCCCCGGCCCTGTCCCTGGTGCCCTCTCAGTTCTCTGGGGAATGTAAAGGGTGAGAGGTTGCTCCAAAAGTGGACCAAGCCACCCCGGGGCCATGTTGCGTGGGGAGGGAAGAGCGGCGAGTCATGGGGAGCGTACCCTTTTGCGTGGGGAGGGAAGAGCGGCGAGTCATGGGGAGCGTACCCTTCAGCCTCTTCTCCATCCCGGCGGCTTTCCCAGAGCACGGATGTGACCCTGAGTCGGTGGACGCGGAGGCAGAGGGAGAGCTTCGTGCTGTTGCAAAGCACAGATTGCTCGGCCTCGAGGCCTGAGGGTTCGAGCGCCATTCCTAACAAAATCCAGGTGGACAGGATGGGGGCTCCGAGAGGGTTGGAGGAGAAGGCACCCCGAGGCTCAGGCCACCTCAGCCTTCCGAGAAGGTGGGTCCCTGTGAGATGGACACCTGTGAACCCTACCTCTTCCCCAAGGAAAGTATGGGAAGAAGCCAGGGCCAAACAGGTGCTCTCTCTGGCCCAAAAGTGAGTGTGGTGGGTAGAAAACGAACACAAGTCGCTGCTGGGCTCCTGTGTCCGGCATGAACCTCCTCGCTAGTGCAGTTACATGCGGTTGTGCGCATGGAAGACGGGAGAGAGTAGCTGGGTAGAGGTTTCTCGTTAAGCCGAAGCGTTCTTCCGGTCCCGTTGCCTGATCATGCGTGGCTTTCTCGTGGCCATCCAAACAGGGCAGAGAGCCCAGGACTTTGTCCAGAAGGGCCCTCTTGGCACAGGGTTGGCTACAGCCTGTCTGGGATATCATGCCACGAGACTAGCCACCACCAGGACAGGTCAGACAACCCTTGACCTTTGCAGGGACAGCATCACTGGGATGGAGTAGACATTTGCTCCCGGAGCACAGAGGGCCCAGACCGGGCGGGGGTGGAGTGAGAGTGGGGGCTAGCACACTCTCCTTCAAGGGGCCTGAGAAGGCAACAGGAGGCGGGGAAAGCATCCCTGGGCAGCTGCAGGCCTCGAGGCGCCTCGTCCCGGGGAATGGTAGCACTGATGACGGCCTAGCCGGAGGCAGGCCTTTGCAGTGGTCACTTGAGCGGACTCACCTACAATCCGTGGCTGGCACAACTGCCTGGGAGTCAGGTCATTCCACTGTCCCAACTCTCGTGGGAGCTACTTCCCTCAAGTTGATATTGGGGCACTATTCTTTTTAACTTTAGTGCTAACTAGGGGCCCATCCTCGCCTGGAACTGCACATACCCCCCACACACACACACACACACACCCCACACACACCCGGGGGAGGCCGATGTGTGATGGTGACAGGCTGCAGCTGGGGGTCTTGTTTCTCATTTTTGGGAAGCAGGGACTTGTCTGAGAGCCCACTCTGGAGGTAACCTGTCCTGGGAATGCGGGGGACAAGGTGTGACCCCTGGCCTTCTTTGGGACCAGGAAACATCTGGCCCTTGGAAAGGGGATGGTAGGGAAGAAAGAAAAATCAAACAAACATGATTCCGCCAGAGCAATCCCTGCATTGGGCCAACTCACTGCAGGCACAGTGCTGGCTCCCAATGCCACCTCAGCCCCAGCAACACCGGCACTGGTCCAGGATGGGCTTGTTGTCTTGTTTCTTCCTCCACCCAAGCAGGACCTGACTCCTAAAGGAAACAAAGGAGTGGCCCTGCCGTGGTGCTGGGCTGTGGGTAGGGGCAGCCATGGCTGGCAGATTCGGAGCCTCTGTCTGCAGGTCTCTGTTCAGTCTGTCCCATTTCCAGCCATCTCCTTCCCTACAGAGAAGGCCATGGTGGGACTTTAGTCTGAATCAGGCTCCAGTGAATGGGGCCATATCATGGTTTGCAAGGGGGATCTGATCCTTCGGGGAAGAACCATCTCCTAAAGGATTCCCCATCCAGTCTCTCTGCCACGCAACTCAACCAGAAGAAAGCACGCTGTGGCTCTTGGTATCCAGCAAGCCCCAGGCAATGCCAGCCCTTCATGGGGCTGAGCCTGAATCTAGGCGCTTGCTAGAGAGAGTGCCCAGCTGGGTCATCATTCATGGACTCACAGCTGGGCAGATTGCTGAGGTCAAGCCAGTTCTCCCAGGGACATGACACCTGAGCGCCCCTTCACTGCCAGCTTTGAGGAAAGCAGTGCCCCCTCGTTCAAGACAATGGATACTACAAAGGTACTTCTTTGTAAATGGAATGTAGCACAATCTTAGACTGTGTTACCAAGAACCCGGACATGCAACCAGGGTTTTGACTCCACACCCTTCTGCCCAGGAGATGCTGAGCTCCTCCTCTCCTGGGGCCCAGAGCTCCTCATACCTCATATTCAGAACTTTGAACCAGTTTGAACCGGTTCTGTCATGATCTTCAAGGTGAAATCAGAACAGACCCAAATTTCTAAAATTTGGGAGAAGCAGAATGATAACCAACAGATTGGAAAGATTGGGGTCGACGCTTTAGGAAGGGAAACTCAGAAAAAGCATAAGGACCCCTTTCGGGGGTCGGATACAGAAGATTGGGTGACTGCCCAAAATATGGAGAGTGGAACATCTTCAAAGGGGTGCGATCGGCTGGCCTCTTGGAGCAGGTTGCCGTGTTTCCGACTGTCAGTCAAGAGATTTGGTTGCTATGCAACACTCACACTGCCCTTCTTGTCTGAGAGGGAGATGAAGTTTCTAGCAGGGCATCGACCCATAATCGTCCCCATTTCAGCTGCCATTCTGGTTCACGTTGCATAAATTTGAGCCCATACCGGTTTCACGTGGCTGCTATGACTGAGCCGGGAATAACTGGTTTGAAGCCCTGCTCATGTTCCCTATCTCCCTCGGACCACAAAGTAGCAGGGCTTTCGTAAAGCCGTTCTGTTTCCCTGCTTGCTGCAAGCCCTGTGCAAACTCTGCAAGAAACTGCCACCTTGGTTTGAGGTTGTAGTTGAATTGTCCCCACCTACAAGTGGGGAGAGCGGGCACAGCATCCGGGGCCAAGAGGTGGCCCAGCAGTATTTCAGCAATGGCTGCAGGGAGATGGAACAGCAAAGACTGCTTCCCTGCCAACTCCTGCCTCCCTTTCTCCTCCTCCTCGCCAACTTTTCTTCCCCAGTATCCTAACACTCAAAGGGGCTCTTTAACATGCTGCTTCCTGCACAGGATTGTCTTTCACTGAACGATCAAGGAGGAGATGTAGATGTCCCCTCCTCCCCTGCCTTCTCCCTCAAGTCTGCATCTCACTCAGGTCAGAAGACTGGGGCCAAGCAACTACAATCAGGATGCAAGGGCAAGGCAGCCCCGCACAATCAGGCGAGACCTGGCTGGGGCTGGATGGGCCTGGTCTGACCCGGAAAAGGTTCTTTAGAAAGAGTGCCTGAGCATCTCGGAACGATGTCAGTGATGCCAAAGAGAGCCACTTGGCCTCCTCGGGCACCAGCCTTCTGACTGAGCTGCACAAACTCGGCTCGGTGGTTGGCGTGTCCGATCGTGGGGCCTTGTTCTCTGAAAAAGGGCTTTATCTTTCCATGTAGCAAAGCAACTCCCTTCCCCCTCCCCTGACCCCCCCAATCCCGAGCTCGGGCTCTTGAGGGCCCAGCAGGGCTGTGCCTGTGAGGAAACCTGCCTCCGTGAGGCACTTGCATTCTCTCTGGGGCCTACGCTGGTTGGGGCACTTGCTCTTCGAAAAGCATGTGTGGTCACTGCTTTGGAAAAGCCTTCCAGGGCTCTGGCTGGAAACGTGGCCAGTAAGGACAGGGGCTTCCCAAGCAGTGCACAGAGATCCCAGGAGAGGTCCCTAGGGCCGGGTCCCAGACAACTCAGCTAATAAATGGGCCCTGGGGATTCCAGGGGCAACAGCATCTGCCCCGTTGGTCGATGGCCTGGGCAGCCAGCTCGAAGGGCTCAAAGGCTGTTATCAACCGTTTTTGCTAAAAACTGTGACCTTGGGCAAGACTCCCTCACTTTTCTGGGCCTCCGCTAACTCATCTGCAAAACTAGAGAATTACCTAGTTGCTTCATTGATTCCCTCCAGCTTTCCAAATCCTCCGATCTGCGATGATGAGGGTGGTGAGCCTGCCAGTGGGGTCCCTTGCTGGGCCGGCCAGTGCAGGGCCTCACCTAGTCTGCGCCCAGACGCTGATGCTGACGTGGACAGGACCCTCAGACTCCGGTGTCACCTCTGCGGTGTTCTCCTTTTGTTCTTACACGACGATGAGAAAGGGTTGTCAACGATAGGCAGTTTTCTAGGTGCTGATGAGAGGTTTCACAGCCTCAGCTGCATCCCGAGGAGCTCGGTGTCCCCAGGCCCAGATGAGGCTGGGCCATTCCTCATCTGTGCTTCCAGAATGCTGCCTGCAGGAAAGTTGAGGAGCTGCAGGCGTTCGAAGAAATGCTGTCTGGTGAGAGGGAATGCGATCCCCTTCCAAACAATTTGTTTCGTAAAAATCATCCCTCTCTCCACAATGTGTATAGTCAGACATCATGTCACGAGGCAGCGTAGCTGCTGCTTTGGGAAAAGTTGGTCAGCTATTTCTAGCAACTCCTTTAGAATGTAAACTGACAAGAGCTCCCTCCCCCTCCCCCCACTTTGAAGACTTTCCAGATGCATCTTGCAGAGAAAGAGAGCAGGCAGGGACCCACAAGCACACTGTTTAGCTAAGAAGCAACTAGCCTTGGATATCTGTGTTCTCTGTTTTATATGTGCAGCAGCTTTCCAAACCTGAGGTTCCTGGGTGGCAGGGGGACAGCTGGGAAGAACTTCCAGCTGTTTTGTACAACGTTCTTGCCAATTTCCTCAAGGCTTTTGCATGTACAGTATGTCGGCAGCAAAACATTATTAAAGTCTGTTTGAAAATGGTTTCCTGCATTGCTTTCTGTACATGGTCATTAATTCTAGAAGAGGGAAAGCAGAAGGAGGCTGCTGTCTTTGGCTGGGAGGCAGGAGAGCATCACACAGTTCAGAAGAGCCTGTGTCCCCATAAAATCAAAACCGAGTCAAGAGCATGTCGGAATGTGGGAGACCTCGATCGAGGAAACTTTCAGCCTCCTAAGACTGGGTGTAAACCACATTTGTACATTCATTGCCCTCATCATTCTCAAAACATGCTCTCTACCTAAGCCTCTGGCATCAGCTCCTCATTTTCCCCCTCCCTCCCTGCAC